AATTATGTCTAATCAATTTGCAAAAATTAAATATATAAATATAGTTTATAATTTATAAAAATAAAAATAAAATGTAACAGATAACTTTAGTTCAACATATCGCATAGTAAAACAATGTCGTGACGTCAAGTATGAATTTTATATGAAAAGTAACTACTGAATTGGTTAAGGTTTGTGGGAGTTTCATAGCAGTTGTGGGTAGTGTGAAGAGGTGAATTTTCACTTACTTCTCGCCCACCAAAAGCATATTGAAGTATGCGTGTATGCACACAAATACACGCAAGGTTATTTTTTTATTTTTGTGTTTCCTGCTGACATACATTCCCCAACGCACTTAACCAGATACATTTCAGAAACAGAACTTTTACATTTTCACATTATGAAAAGGTTTAATTACATTAAAAAATAATAATTTAATTAATTAAACTACGTTTCGAGTCGTACACAACTTTTGTTACAAACTTAAAATGATGGTACATACTTAACTAAGATTAAATGCTTAATATTGCACAGATGTTTAAGTAAGAAGTCAGCTTTTAAATAATTAATTAATGTAATAATTTTTATTTTATTAATATAATATAATTAATATAATAATTTTTTATTATTTTAATGAAAAGATATGAAACAATTTGATAATTGAATCCATTACTTACTCGTTGTTTAGTAGTTGAAAACTTATTTTGTATAAAGTAAAATGTTTGGACGGTCTTTGCTTAATATTTAATACGTTCCGTAAAATAAAAAAATTTTTTCATTTATTAATTACTTTAATTTATAATTTAATTTATATTCAATTTTATAATTAATTTTATAAAATCTTTTTAATTCACTTAATTTTTAGTATTTCTTGTAACATCTTTTACATTCAAATATGTAATTTTAGGTTTCATTACAAAAACAAAACATAGATTTACGTCAATAGCTCACAGATATTTGCGGTATACGAATCTATTCTGTTGTATTCTATTCTATTCTGTTCTGTTCTCTTTTTGAGTCCTGTGGTTAAAACAGTTCCACTTTTTAAAATAATATTTTTTGCTTAATAAAATTTTTTGGCAAATGCACGAACGCCGCTTTATTCCGTTTTATGTTCTGTTCTCTTCAATTAATGTAAAAGCACTGAAAGTATTTCACATTCGCATGAACTGCAAAACAGAAAAGCACCGACATAGATACTTTTGTTGTGCTCATAGAACCGAGAAAAAAAAGCAGAATGAATGTGACGACAACGGCTACATTCACCTACTAACCCAGACCGAGAATGCTGCAGTAAAGTGGTAGCGTGTGATATGTTTTTCATTTCCATTTCTTTATTCTGCTGGGGATGTATGACATTTCGATATTAGCACAGGAATCTCATATAATTGAAGTTCATGTGCAATGTGTATTCAGACGAAAATAATGAATGGCAACTCTTTTGTGCATTGCTCCGACAACTTTATTAAAGCTAAGCAAAAAATATTCAGGATCCCTTTTTTAGTTCAATTTTTAAATATCTTAAGAAGGATGCGTGAGAGTAGATTAATGCTTCTAAAGAGATTGAATACGAATATAAATTCAATTTGATAAGTTATCATTGTCATACTCAGTCATGTAATAAGTGTATCTTAAAGTATTGATCTCTTATGATGTATTCTTAAAATTAAAGTTCTTGTTAGGAGCATTAAAATAAGAGAATATATTTCAAATATTAGATAACTAATATACGATAACTATGAAAAGGGTAAGACATTGCAAATACAGAAAATATAAGAAACGATATATAGTTCTTAAAATCTTAATATCTACTTTATATGCACCTATTTTTGCCTATTCATAGTACTTCAGTGAATTCTTGATTTATGTCATTTAATATATCGCACATCCCCTTCCATAGAAGCACAACTCGAAATTCCTCAATTTTGAGTTAATGTATTGAACTTGCTTATAGTTTACCTGTTTACAAACCCGCAAAATCCTATAAAACCGGCAAAACAATTATATATCCTTTTTTGTTAGGACTGATACTACGCTGCAAACCATTGCGTTTTCTGAAAATTGACGAATTTCGAGTTGTGCCTCTTTTGAAGAGAGTATTATTTATGTATTATTATTTATTTGCAACTATTTATCCTTTATTCATAGTTCTTCAAAGTTTCTAATTCATATTAGGTTTTATACGAGTATCTGCTTAATTTGTAAGTCCTTAACCGTTTTCATAGTTCTTCAATGAGTTCAATTAATCTTCAATTAGTTTTTATACGAGTATCTACTTAATTTGTAAGTCCTTAACCGTTTTCATAGTTCTTCAATGAGTTGAATTAACCAATATATGTACATGAACAAGATCTCGAGAATGACTCAACAATAATATAAAAAAATGGGGTAACAATTGTATCACAGAAACAACTATTAAAGAAGTTCCAATAATATTAAAGTTAACTTTGATATACTATTGAAGATAGAGGTATTAATATCGACTGATTAAAGAATAACTACTAAATCTTTCTAACTAATAAATAAATATTAATATTAATTAATTTATATAAATGAATAAAGTAATTATTAAAAAGTTACTATAAAATGCGTTCACAAAATTTTGTGGTACTAGCGAGATTGAATTGCGATCGAATAATAAATAATAGTGCATTTATATAGCACTAAAACTTTGTAAATGTCGTTTTTTTACTTACGTTAAAATTTTAAGTATAAAAGCAAATCTTATTCTTTATCTTAATTGAGAATAATTACATCCAAATAATTTAATATAATTAAATTCCTGTGTGGGCTAATGGGCCTTCTCTACTGTAAGTAATTTTTAGCGTTGGTGTTTTAAATGTATATGTTTAAACATAAATTGTCATGTGTACTTAGTGAAAAAACTTACATATCTGTAATTATTAATAGTTTTAAGTGCTTAGTGACTGCACAAAGCTTTATTTACTATTTCAGTATTTAGCAAAATACTTAAGAAATGCGGTCAAAAACTACTGTAGTCAAATGATAAGACTTGTCTGATTTCTTGAAGTTCCTTAAGCTAAGGTTATTACTTTAAGAAAGGAATTTCGAGTCGTCGGTAGTTATAGAAATAAAGTTTACTAAAAGAATTAAAGGCTTTTAGAGTCTATATGCAAAATATATGGAAAATTACTTCACGCCCTTGCATATATATAAATACAGTCAAAATTCCATAACTAGAACTTCTATAACTCGAATTTTCTATAATTCGAACTAGAAAGAGTGCAACAGGGTTTTAGGGAGCAAATTACTTACAATTCTACCTCCATAACTCGAGCTTCTATAACTGGAATTTCTCTTTAACTCGAATAAAAGTATTATCACGTCCCAATAGGAATATGGGAAAGTGCATCCCATAAGTCGAATTTATGTTTTAAGTATGAACCCATTTTGGTGTTAGGGGAAGTCTCTTTTTTCAAAGCAAATGTATAATTTTTTTTTCTTATGTTGCTTCTTTGTGGAAATGACACTAGCTGGCAGCGTAGTTTAAAGTAAATGAAATAACTTTCAATGCTACTCTTAATGATTATATTGAGCTTGACAATCAAATTTTTACAACAAGCTTTCCTACTTTCTCATTATAGTGGATCCAAATCTAAGCGCAACGGAAAGTGATATTGAGGGTTCGGTGGATGAAATTGTTCATCAAGCTTCCAAGAATGAAGTGGAAGACTCATCAAAATTCTAAATTTTTATTTAAAATGGCTGATACTCCAACTGATGATCACTGTAAGACTTGAAATAAATTGGGATCTGTTTTTGTTGAAAATAAAAAGTAATTAAAATCCCAAACCCTAATTTCTGAATATTTTACTTTATTATAACTTTTGTGCTGTATTTGTTTTCAAATAAATAAATATCTTAAAATGTGATTCTGTTTCTTTCAAAAATAAAAATAAAATAAAAAAATTCTCTAACTCGAAGTCTCCACAAGTCGAACCTTTTCTTTGCAAAATGGTACTTCGAGTTATTGAAGTTTGACTGTAGATATAAATATATATATAATATAATATGTTTTACAATAAATATAACATAAATTAATATACTTGCTGGGCCTCGTTAAAATGAGTTTTAGTTCATTAATGATTTTTTTTGCTTTTTTTTAATAATTTCGGTTACTTTTTATATAAGTTTTATATTCCATATTTGTTAATATAAAAATACTAAATTAAACCGTTTTAATAAATATACTCCTATACATATGTACATAAATTGTTTTGAAAATAATTAATTTTTTTTATTACCATTCTTTAATAATTTCGTTATAACCCTTTGCGATAAAGATACAATTTGACATTTTTATGATTATGCACGTATATATGTGTATGTGTATATCCATATTGACATTCATAAATTTTAAGCTACTCGTCCTAAGAATGCTTCTATTTTATTGATGGAAAGATTTATGGCTTAGCTACTTTGACATTCATACCACAGCATATTTCTATTCATATTTTTTATGTGTCAACCCATAAAAGTACGAGTATCCTACTGCATATGCTTTGTTGTGTGTAGGTTGAAGGATCAATAAATTGACCAAGTGTTGAACACTCGCTCACACCCTTTTTTAATTTTGTTGACATATTTGCCTTATCGTATTATTGTTTACAAAAACGGTCGACTTCTGCATTTTACGTCGCATGAATTCGTGCGTTGAGGGTGTAAAAATACCGCCATAAGCGCCTTTCGGTAAGTTTAATTAAAATATCCTTTGCATCCTTAAAAGTGAGAAATCGAATAAGTGTCATGCGCAGTATATCTTATGCTCTTTGTTTATAAAATTACAAATTATATATCGTTTTGTGTTATTATAATAAATTATTAAAAATTAACAATTTTATTAATATTAGTTTTATTACAACAAACTAAATAAAATATTTAAATATAAATTAATTTTATATATTATTTTAAATAATTGTTTTTAATTTTGTAAACTCTCTACGCTCTCGATAGACTCATAAGTGATACAGATTTTCAATATCCTTTGTCCTTTGTATTTTAGTTTAGTTCAAACTTTCATAAAAAACACAACAGAGACGGAAAAATTCCTTTAATTTTATATTTCTACTGAATAAATCTGATAGTGCTTTTTTCCTAGCATATAATTTTAAAAGTAATTATTTTGTTTATATATAAAAATTAATAATAAGTGATTATATTATAATATAAATTGCGAATTTCATAGCATAAAAGCTTTTTAAGTGAAGATATTAATTAGAAAGTATTGAGAAAGTTGTATAGAAATTTAGGTTTAGCAAAATCAATAAGATTCCCCTCCCATTTTCAACAAGGAATAGAAAAATTTTATTGTTTGTATCCTTAAAACAAAAACTATTTCTTCTATCGACTTGAAACAATAATCAAATAATTTATTCCATAGTATATTATATTTTAAATATATATTTAATTAATATAATTTTTTTTATTTATTTGAAGTTAAATATGATTGGAAATTGCATTGGCAATTGTGGTCATGTCGGACCGCCACCTGATTCAATACTCTCTATGCCGCCGCCACCGTTGCCATCGTTTTTGCTGCCCAAGACAGCAGTATTGGCATTACCAACCGAAAACGATTCCCAACCTTGCTTTACACCATTTATGTGTGAATCGAATGCACATCCTCGTGAAAGTGGTGTTGAGTTTGTTGAATTAACTGGCGGCAATAATAATGGCTTGGAGAATACTTGGCTTTTTGTGCTGATTTCATCTTGCGTTGGTGTCTTAATATTAGGTGGTTTATTGGCCGTTATTTTACTTAAATGCAGAGAGTAAGTTTAATTTTGCTTTTTATAAGTAAAAAATTAAATAAGTTTTAATTACTAACAATTTTTTTATTTTTAGTACACTCTTTGCCAGTTGTAATTTCTCCTACCATGACTCGAACATTAAGCAAGGCGCTATGAATACTTTAGGAGAACCTTCAAAATCAAATCCTTTTATGGCCGGTGGCATTTTATATCCTTGCACAGCTGCTGCTAGTCGCGACACCTTACAAAGTCAAATGGCTAATGATAGCCGTTTATTGTGGGCTACTTTAACACCACATGGAACTCGACATTTTATAACTGATTATCCGAGCGTTAATAATGCACAGGAAGGACATTATGAAGTTGTTGACTATCGCTCCAAGCCACAAAATCATATATATCGTGATTATGCTAAACGTACACCTATCAAAGTAAGTATTATTCTTAAGCGCAAATAATTATACAAATAACAAAAATATATATTGAAACTGGTCAGTACAATTTTAAAATGGGTGTAGCATATTAATATTTTTGCAATAGATTTTTGTTGTCCCTTAAAAAAATAACAGTTTCTTACTATATTTATAAGTATTTATATTTATTTATTTGTGAGTTAACATTAAAAGTAATTTTAAAATTAACTAAGAATAGAGAACTGGAGAACTGTGTAGTATTATTTTTGCAATAGAAAGATTTTTGTTGTTCCTTAAAAAAGTTAGAATTACTTACTATATTTATAAGCATTTATATAATTATTTGTTTGTTTGTGAGTTAACATTAAAATTAATTTTAAAATTAACTAAGAATAAGAAACTGGTCCTTCGCCCTAATAAGTATTTATAAATATTGTATAGGTCTATATTACAGCTTCTATTATACTTTATATTCAACTTTTTTCCGCTATAGATTATAGTTCTTGTTGGACTACTGCTACTGCAACAATATTTTCAAACATCTGTATTTATCTAGCCATTTACACATATGTTTGTAAGATCTTCTTCTTAATCCTTCTTCTATCGCTTACTGTATCTTCCACTTTTTTGTTTCCTAATGCAAATAATACATAGGTCTTTTAACCACACTGCTACTAGGCATTCTGATAACATAGCCGTACTAAAATAAAAGCTGCACTTTTATGTATCTGAAGACACTTCTAGATTCATTTATTGTTCCTATCTTATATTTAGCCTCAGTGGCTTGCTGTCGCTAGTTGGTAGTACCGTGCGCCCTCAAATCGTTGGTCACCTGAACCTTTTACGCGAAGATTCGGGCGTCCTTTGCCGCGTTTTCCACCTGCGGGTACCGAATCAAACACCTTTCTAGCCGGAAGCTTTTCTTCCATTCGCACGACATGACCAAATCAGCGAAGAAACTGAATTTTTATGCGCTTAACTATGTCTATGTCGCATTATAGCTCATGCAGTTTTTCGTTTTATCTAATTCGACACTCGTTACCAACGCGTAAGGGACCATAGATCTTTCGAAGAATTTTTCTCTCGAATGCTCTTAACGCTTTTTCATCACTGTTGGTAATTGTCCAAGCTTCTGCACCATATAGCGTAATTTTTGTTTGTTGAGAGAGGGTTTTATTTCACAATTACCTACTTAGCCCGATATAACATTTGTTGGCAAGAGTGATTCTTCGTTGAATCTCTAGATTGATGTCATTATTGGTATTTACGCTGGTTCCCAAATATACTTACTTATTCGTAAGTATAGCAATTACTAATTAGTTTTATATTAAATTTGTTTTTTTAGTGTGTTTGTATATTAAAACAATTCCTTTTTTCTCAAAAATTCATACCATATGTTTAAAAAACTCGATTTATGTATATTGCTTTTTATGCATATTTTGATTATCATTTCTTTATTAATTAGATATACGGTTATGAATATATAGCATATGTTTTGAAATTATTACAATAATAATAATATTAAAATATATATAATTTTTTTAGTCATTTGACAATAGTGGATTCGTTGATTATGATTATGAGGATCCAACACCATTAATGGAATCATATCATGATGATCTTGACTCTGGATATCAAGAACCGCAAGAAATACTGAACAGTTTACAACGTTCGTCTCCTCGTCCACTAGTTGTATCTTCGCCAACTCGTATTGATAACCCTAATATTGCTCCATTAAATTACTATCCTTCAAGTCGTACTAATACACTTCAATCAAATCACTCCACTACACTTAATCGCAAAGCAACCTCTAATCGTCGCATCAGTGACGCATCCACTTATGGCGGTCCAAATATGTAAGTGACAATCTGAAAATTGAGCAATAATATAAAATGTGGTTTCTGAGGTAAAAATTTGTAGTTAACACGCACAATATACAACGAAACACGCATTTTAGCAATAATTTAATCATAACACTAAATCAGATAAAATCAACACATAATGGTCCACATAAAAGTTTGTATTCAAAATATCAGCTAAAAATACTTTAACATTTTTATAAAAATACATAAAACGAGCGTCAGGAAGAAAAATAAAAAATAACAAGTAGAAAATCAGAAATCAAAATTAATAGCAATTTTTCAATAAATTTAAAGAAAGCTAAGATATATTATATATATATGCATATTACTAACATTTTTAACATAAGTGCAATACAAATTAATGGAAAATATTCCGAATATTCCTAATCAACTTCATATCTTGTTTTGAAAGTATTAATATTTGCTTAGATTTGTGCGAAAAAAAGTATTAAAATTAAGAATATAAATATTTATTTTATTAAAAAACATAAATACAAAATACATTATTATATACAAATTTTTTAATACATTGAATCAAAGAATAATAATTGAAATGCACCAAGTCTTTTAAAAGATTAAAATCTTAAGTAAAAAAAATATTTAATAATAATATATAAATATGCATATGAGAGCATTAATTGTCAGTAGTTGAATATATTTTAATTAATATAATAGTATATGCTTTTTCAAAAAAAAATAATATATATATATATTACTAAAATATTAAGAAAATGGTATTAAAATTAATTATTATATATATATATATAATATGCATGTAAAGCATTCAATGTAGTAAGTATGCATTTTATCAATTGTTTTAAAGTCGTCTAAAAGTATTATCTGAAGACATAAGCTGGTTCTAAAAATTGTGTGTAGTTATAATGCAAATCATCTGATTTTCAATGAGAATTACAATATAAAAAATAACAGAACATTTTATAAGAGTAAATATAATTAAATTTATAAATATATATTGTTTTTAAAATTTAAAAAATAATATTAATTATAAAAAATTTGTAGTAAAATATAGAAATTCGTTTTCAATTAAATACTACAAATATTTTCCTAATATTAAAAATATATATACGAAAATACTCGTATTATAAAATACATCAAAATGCATTTAAATATTTAAGCAATAATATATATATATATATATGGTATACATATATATATTAAAATAAAAAATTTATTTTAATAAAACATAATATGAAAAGCTTTCAAATGATCTCCATAAAATTGTTGAAATAAAAATATATATATATATATTAAGAAACAAAAAAAAAAGGAATATATTCCAAAAAACAATAGCACATTTAAGGTTATCTATTCTTATAAATATTTGTTCACGCATACTTACATATTCCTATATATTTAACTGAAGAAACTAATTAATTGCTTATTCCTAAAATTAAAAATTAATTATATACGTATTCTATGTATTAAAATGTAAGCGCATTAATGTATTGTAATTTTATAATTGTAATTCCATTAAATGGCGGCTTTTTACTACTTCACTAAATAGGGTTGTGTTGAAATTTATTGATCGCAATAGCAATAAAAGCTCAATAATAATTGTTTTTTTTTATAAAACATATTCATTAAAAACAACAAAAATAAATTTTAATTAAGAAATCACATCAAAATGTCATTTGTAATTTTATGTGCATGGAATATTTGCATTCATATATGTAATAAAAAACTAATAAAAACAAATAATTTTTTAATCTTCAAATTTTTTACAGTATATTGTAATGTGATTAAAAAAGAAAATGAGAAAGAAAGAGAGAGATAGGCACAAAGAGATTGTGAGAAAGGGAGAGGAGCGGGAAAAGTGGGCGAAATCTGTTTCTCCCTCTTTTCGGGAGTGAGAGAGAGTGAGAGAAAGAGAGAGAGAGAGAAAGAGAGAGAAACAGACCGATAAAGAAAGAGAGAGAGAGAGACATTAAGAAATGGGGAGAGAGAAAAAGAGAGGGATATATAGAGAAAGAGGTACAGGTACAGATAGTAAGATAGCAAGAATCCCTTTTAATTTTTTTTATATGATCAGGATGTAGTCAAAAAAATGTAACTGTATATTTAACACTTAAGTAAAGGCCTTTAAACAAAGGTCTTGATTACAGTTTTAAATAAATTTTCAAATATTGCGTTATCCAATTTATTTATTCTGTCCTGGTGAACTGTCCAGAAACACAAAACGATATGTTAAACATCATCGATCTCAAACTCAGCACCACTAGTGATTTGATATCGGATAGCTGATATCAAAATTCAGTGGAAGTCCTCCACCATATCAATTAATCTATGATTTATCAGCCATAGGAAGAAAGCAGACTTGAACTGATATTTCAAATCGTTGGAATCGTTGGATAAGAACTAAAACTTCTCATCTAGTTATTGATGAATATTCTTGTGATTTGATCCACGGTAATGCTCCAATGTACAATAAACACCCCACCATGAAAAATGATATTAGTATGTCAGTCAATAATATTATTTTTTAAACAATTTTCAATCCATTATTCACATTCGCAAAAGCTTTTTATACTCATCATTGAATATAGGTCCATAGAAACACAAGTACACCTTTAGCCATATCAGGCCACTTAAACATAGCTTGCAATAACTTCAGCTTGACAATATCTGCTGATGACGGTTCGCCGTAAATAATAGTCAAATACATTTGCCCGATATATCACAATGCAGACCAATCAGCTAATTATTTATACTAACTGTTCTTATACAGCAACTATTGTGAATTCATAATTATTGTGAATACACCTGTTGGGCTTATCAGCTGATGTCTTTTAAACAAACAAAATCATCTTTGCTAAGCTGATAAAACTGACTACTTATTATTATTAAAATTAATGTTTTAGTGTGTATATAAAAAATAATAATAGATGTTACAAAGTTTATGATCCTCTTTCTAAAATGGATCAATCAGCTTTCTGTAAGTTTATTTTCCCATATTATATATATTAAATTTAATATACAATAACTTTTAGTGACATCTGCTGAAGAACAATTAAAAAATTTTGGCTCATTCCTTAACAACTACGATGCGCAATTGGCGAACTTACTTAATAAAAGTAAAACTCTAAACCAACTGTCCTGCAATGCTGAACCGCTTGTAAATATAAACTACACTGGCAATCAAGAACAATTGCAGCTTATACGTTTGTTGGAGTCTGATAGACTTGTCAACAAAATTTTGTTAACATTCGCATATTTGTGTGAAGAAGTGGATTCTTTAGTGTCAGACAGTCGAGAAATGCAGATGAAATTTCTATATTTAGATGAAGATCTCTTAGCAGTACATTTAGATGATAGTAACTCAACAACTGGATCTATAATAGAAAATGAGCGTGTTCTTATTAAAATGAGTCAATGCATGGAGTTTCTTTGCAATATTCAATTTCTTCTGCAACGGTGTACAGTATTGGGGAATAATATACTGCACCAATGCGGTGCATTTTTAGCAACTGAAGATACATCATTGGAGTTTCGATTTTTTGTAAGTAAATTAAAACTTAAAATTATTTTACAATTATAAATGGGTTTATGTTATTTATATACAGGACATTTTTGAATATCTATCAGAGTTATTACTGCAAATTCTAATATTTGATGAAATATTTGCCACATCAAATTTCTGCCGGTTTTGGCCTTCGTATAAAAAAACTGTAGATGCTGTAGCACATAATCGAGATTTGCAGCTTCAATGTACAAGTTCCGAAATTAGTGGCTTACAAAATTGTCTTCAGGAACTGGATATACTATTTTCAGCAAATATTTTCCAAGTACATTAAATTTATTACTATTAACTATTTTCACAAATAATACTATTTTCTAGTATTTTTTGGATAGTACATTTGCTTTAAAAGAAAAAATTGGTCCTACTGGCATAGGCTTACTTATACAACAGTGTAATGAATATGTTAAGTATAACTTGGCATTAATTGATAAATGGCAGATTAATGCTCTAAACGAATTTAATGATCCAAAATTATTAATCAGATTAAATGCTTTTTGCGTTGTTTTTCATACATTTTGCGGACAAATAGATTCGAAACATGTGAAACATCTACTGGAACTTAATGCTAAACATCAGGGTATAATGCTAATAAGTAATGTTGTTTGGATTCCCAAGCACTTTTTAAAAAAGCACGCATATAGTTTAATTAAAACTCATGAAAAGTTACTTTACGATGTGAAACGACAATGGCAGCATTACTTGAATGCGCATTTACAAACTCTTCAAACTGATTGTCGTAAATATTGCATTCATTTAGCTCTATGGTCACTAAATGTTGAAAAAATGTTAAATGCCGGCGCTTTTTATTTGAAATTGGATCAATTTAAAGAACTAGCTGCTTTGTTGTTATCAGGACTTCGTTACGCTGGGCAATTGAGCTTTCTAGTAAAGGGATTGGTAAACGCACACGTATCATTACAAATACCAATGACAAAACAGACACTATTGGCTATATGCAAAATGATTGAAGTGATGAAATCAACACAGAATCTATTCCAAAAACATAGTCGAAGCATTGCTAAAATAATACATTGTATATTACAATATTTACAATATAAACTATTGCATTTGCTAGGAAGTTGTAAGGTACGCAAATATTATAATAATATAAAAATAATTTAAAAAATAAAAAATTTTTCTATTAAATTTGTATATTTTTAGAAAAAAATTACCTCAACGAAAATGCTTGATCGTAATGTAGATGCGCTGGCCGCTATCAAAATTGCAGAGAAATGTTTGAACGGTACTTGCAGTCAAAATCGTATTCTAACTGCCAAACTTGCTGTTAATGCTACCAATTTTCATAATCGATGTCTTCCAACTGAAATGTATGAAAAGTTTAGAACAATAATGGAACGTATTGAATTGCTAAGTGATTTTGAAATAAATTTAAAAAATATATGTGATACATCATACATCTATTGGCATCAATCGATACTAACAGCTTATTTAAAGCATATTGTGGATAGAAAAATGGATTATAATTCATTTCAAGTAATTACTCCGAAAATTATTATTTTTAATCTTATATTTAATGATTTTCATATAGAATTTAATCAGAGCTGCCGATAATTGTACAGAAAACCTAGACAAACTGCAACTTAGTGATTTGAAGATAACTGATATAATGAAAAAATCTAACTTTGATAATATACGTAACGGAATTATTAGTAATTTGTGTGCACATATAGAAACATTTTTACGATTAGAAGTTCATTCTAATCTACAATTAGAAAAAATGAATCCATTTGAGCAGAGTATCGATGATTATAGAGATTTGATAAATGCATGCCCTATCAGGCTTAATGGCAATTATATCATTTTAAGAGGTAAATATGTACTATATAAATATATAGTTACTTATTATAATAAAAATAATTTAAGTGCTCATCCTACTTCTTGTAGTTACCTACACATAATGTTAGCCCTAATTATAAGAAGAAAGTGTGGTGAAAATAATAATATTAACAAAAAGGGCTTCTCTCCATTGAAGTAGCTAGGTTTAAATTGATCCAGACTAGTTTTATTTAAAACCTATCCACTTCTTTATCCTATCCCCAATCTCACACAACTCTTCTTCATCCTCTTTACCTTTACCCGCACTAATCCTGTCCACGTATTCATCTTGTAATACCATTTATGTTTCCTGCAATATCAGATCTTCACGGTCTACATTGTTAAATAACATTCTTTTGAATTTTTTTCTATTTATATTTTGTTTAATATTTTTATAAATGTGTCGCGTTGTTTTTCGCCTTGTGGGTCTGATATATATTATTAATATTATAATTTTGCATATCGATAAAATCTATAAAAATACAATGATATATTATTATTATTTATATAAACAAAATATTGTATATATAATATAAGAAATGTTGCACTCATATGTCAGACTTAAGCAACTATTTTATTTTTATTTTATTATATATATTACATGTATTTATGTCTTTTGTAGATAATGTGGAGAATTATCTTAGTGCTATGTTCTATAATTTGACAACAATTTCATTGCACGATTGGAAAACATACGAAGAAATGCGCCACTTAGCAAATAAACGTTTAATGTTGAAGCCAGTTGAAGATTATTTACCAAATCAAACATTGGATCAGGTATTTAATGTATCTTTAATGATAATAAAAAATATTGCTAATATTGTATGTGTTTTTTAGGGTATTGATATATTAGAAATAATGCGAAAAATAAATATATTCGTTTCGAAATATGTTTACAATATGAATGCACAAATTTTCGTTGAACAACAAAGTCAAAATAAACATCTGGATTCAATAGGTATACGACACGTTGCTAATTCACTACGCACACATGGCAGTGGAGTGATAAATACGACTGTTAACTTCACCTATCAATTTTTGCGTCAAAAATTTTATACATTTTCTCAATTTTTATATGATGAACAAATTAAGTCGCGTTTAATGAAAGAATTTCGTTCGTATACGGAAAGGAAACAAAATGACAAGTATCCATTGTATCCTTATGAAAGAGCTGATGCTTTTAATAAAGATATACGTAAACTTGGTTTATCTAAAGATGGGCAAACATATATGGATCTATTTCGAAAAGTGATTACGCATGTAGGTAAGTTAAAATGTTTTTAATAATATTTGCTAAAATTATTTTTAGCTTAGTTTTCTACTAAATTGATTTTTAACATCTGTTTTGACGAAAAAAACTAAATTCTTAATATAAACTATTACTTTCAATAGAGAGATATTTATCAAACAGTAGTGAAATTGTAACATTTTTTTTATTATTTTTAATTAACTGAATTTTTATCCATTATCAGTCGTCTTGGAATTATTTCTTATATATAATTATTCGTAAATAATTTTTTGACATTGCAAGTGTCAAGGATTGAACTTGTATCCTATCAAATTTGAAGCTCAGAGCTAGTGATCTAAAGTTTTATAAAAATAAAATGAGAAAGGTTTATGGACAATTTTGATCAATCTCAGCATTTTTTCACAACGCTATATATATTGATTTTTGAGATTAATGATCCAAAAAACAAAATAGTAGTTACGACTGAAATCTATGGGCAGTATAGAGTACATGAAAAATCACATATATTGCTTGATGTAACTAAAAATACTTTGCGGTAAAAATGTTCTATTGAAAAGTCCTCTCCAACGGTAACAAACTCGCTCCAATTGTTGCACATACGTACTTTATGGTGGTTGATATTATTGTAATTTTATTTCTAGAAGTAGTCAAATTTATGCCCCGAAGTTACTAACATTTATTATATTTGTTTCAGTGGTAGTGTACTGTACAGTATAGTGGTACAGTCTATAAAACATTTTTTTATTATATTAAATTTAGTTTAGTTTATTAAAAAACTACTTTAAAACAAAATATATAATTTAAATTTTTTTTATGCAAACAGGTAACGCTATGGGTTATATACGACTTGTGCGCTCAGGAAGTATACATGCAAATTATAGTGCTAGCCTCTATTTACCGAAATTCGATGAAAATTTGACTTTTGCCGAAACATGCAAGAAAGAGAACCTACATGACGTTACTTTTGTAGCTGCAGAAAACCTTGAAGCAAATATTAATAATTTAGTTCGAAGTTTCTCTGACAGTACGGATTATTTTAAAGTAAGCTTTAAACACAAAACTTTAATTTTTGATCTTTATCAAAACTAACATTTCCATTTTAGATTCTTATAGAGGCATTTCAACCATTTTTTCACAACGCACATAATATACATTTGAAAACTTTTTTCCTTATTATTCCACCATTAACATTGAATTATGTGGAATATATGCTAAGTGTTAAGGAAAAAATTAATAGGAAAGATCGTCAGGAAGCGGTGTTATTCGATGATGGTTTTGCTGTTGGACTGGCATACATACTAAAATTGCTCAATCAAATAAATGAATTTAATTCTTTGAATTGGTTTGGTATCGTACGAGAACGTTTTGAGACTGAACTGAAGAAAATAAAGGAAATGCTCTCGGATGTTAATAGTGGTACTAATAAAACCAACACGAATTCAAATATGAAGAAGAGTGAGAATGAAAAACTTCAACAAACTCTTGCATTAACTGAGAGACGTATTAATATCCATCAAATGGAATATAATTTGTTATATTATAATATAGGAAGCGCAAAAATATTTTTCTAGTGAATCTTGAAGAATATTTTCTTTTTGTTATTATTGTATTGTATATATATTATATTTAAAATAGTGTTTGGGCATTAAGAAAATCGAATCCATCGAGTATACTTGAATTCAAACATTTGAATCAAAAGCTTTAAATATTTCTTATTTTAGATTTGTTACCATACGTACTTCATATACAAATATGTATTATAACAAATGCTCAAACATTATTTGTTATTCGAACATTTTCAAGGACGCTGTGTCAAATGCTCCAATACAAGCAAACTCGAAAATCAGAATTTTCGAAACTTCAAATATTCCCCATAAAATTTGTAGCTTTAATCTATAATAATCAAGCATAGTGTTCAGAACTATTAATAATGTAAATTGGAAAACAAGAATTTCGTAACAATCTTCAAATATTCCAAACATAACATACTTTTTACTACTATTATTAATTTATTGTTTATTTAGAATAATAAAAATACGTAAATTTCGTAGCAATAATAATAAAGTAATATTCTCAATTTATTTAAACGCAAATTTTAGGTAAGATGTTATTTGCTCAACCTAAATCTAAAACTTAACAACTAATAAATTGTAAGAAAACTATATAATGATATATTTATTCCTCTTCCCTTTCCACACACCTCATCATAATACTTGTATTTGTCTTATAATCTTTTTTTGTGTCCTGGTTTATACATCACCATAGGTTTCAACAGCAACAACAAAAGTCTAGCCTCGCCATATTTTGTCGTTGATATTGACGAGCGGCTTCAAGAAACACGTCTTTTCCTAATGTGTGTCCAAACTGTAGTTCCTTTGGACTCCTTACCCACTCATGTAATCGTCTTGTATATCCTTTCATGTTATTTGCTTACAGGTCCCAACGGGTCACTACAAAAAAAGCAGCTTCGAGACGCTTTTTCGAATAATAGTGATATTTAATAATTTAAATTTACATCCTATTACTTGATATATATGGCAAGAACGGCAAATTAAATAAAAATCTAAAAAAGTAATCCTTTGGTTGGACTTGGAAATATTTATATCTAATTTATTTAGGATGAGATTAATGACTTACGAAAGTAGATGGACCGAATTTAATATAAATGTTTGCAGAATGCAAATCAAAAACTAATCTAAAAGTTTTTATCAAATTGGACCTTGGAATATAAATAACTAATATAAGAAGCTTAAACCCATTCATGATTACTTCTAAATGGATTGTTTTTCATTGTCCAAAGTACTTCATCTAATTTAAAGGTACTTCATTTTAGAATGGAAATCAAAAACAAATTTAAAAAAAAATTACTTAAAATGGCCAGTGGAATAAAGGTATCTACTACATTTAGGCTAAGCCTATCATATATTGCGACTCCCGAAGGTGTTAGTTGTTAATCGAGGTAGGGGTGCCTTATTTGATATAAATGACTTAAGATGAGTAAATCGAATAAAAATATTAACAATATTATTTGCACAGTATCTTGTGCTGTAAGTAGCAAATATGGTATTTGAAACATCAAATTTAAATATTCTAATTTAGTTAATACTAATATATAATCTAATAACCTTGCAGTGGAAGAGTTTTCAATAATAAGCTATAAAATATAATTCTGATAGATATAATAAAATATTCTGAAATAATATTTTTATGTATCCTTACAAATAATTTGGTATAAAGAATATAAAATATATATTAACATTAATAAAATATATTTTATTAAAACATATACATTAATAAACATCTTTAGATAATAAAAATATGTAATCACAAACAACATTTAGTTATAAGAAATTTGACACGACTTGTATAAGCTTTGTTATATGTAAATATGTTTCGCATAAAATACATAAATGTAATGAAATAAAATAATTTTATATTAAAAAATTGTAGTGTATAATGATATGCAATATTAAAAATTTTACTAAGTTTTCACATATAATTGTCACATTAAAATTTGCTAAATATTACACAAAAAAAAAAAATTATTTTATGAAGTACATTTTGCTTATGATGTACATACATCTAAGTTTCGGAAAACACATATATATATAATAAAAATTTTATATAGAATACAATACATGCAAAAAAAAATAAAATAAAAACATCGAAGTCTATTAGTTTATAAGATCATAAAATAATTGCATGAATGCACATGTATATAAAAATATAAGAAGATAGGTGTACAATAGGTGTATAATAATAACTGAAACTTAAAGATGCAACAAGATTAAGTAAAAATTAATTAAGAATTGAAGCCAATACATTACATTACATTATTTTGGAATGTTACAATTATTTTGCAATCTAACTTCAAGTATGAAAAATAGAGATTTATCAAATAAAAATTATTAAACATAGTATTCTTTTAGAGAGAAAATGTACGAAAATACATTAAATGTTTACTTCAAATTCACTTTTTTCTCTTAATGAGAAATATAGAAAAATACATTAAATGCCGCAATAAATTGCTTTGACATATAAAATAAAATAACCCAAGTACATCTTTTAGAAAAATATTAGACATACTAAGATTTAAGTATGGAAGCATGCATAGTAGTTTTGGTTCTGCCACTTATTGCATCTTTAGTTTCATTTATTCCTGACAATTCATTTCGTTATGTAAATTTTTTATTTACTCTTGATAAATGCATATTATATATTTAGTCCAACAATTATAGTCAATTAATTAGTTGCATATTTGTTCAGTTTGTGCTTTTGAATTAATTCAATCAATTAAATTCGAATGAGGATCTTGTTCTTTGTTTTACGTCAATATGTACTAGTAATGAAGCTAATTCTAATTCTTCGCTAAATTTATTACGCAAAGTCACGCTGCGATAACCAGTGCGTATACAGTTTAATGGATAACAAGCTTGTGCGATCAATTGTGTTTCAGCGAATATATCTTCGTCTTGTACCTCAAACCGCAATATAGCAAAGTGTGGATTAATTACTGCAAATTCACAAGATTCATTCCATACAGGATTAAAGCCATTTTCACTGATTTTCGTACGATGTTTCAGACCAGTATCGAAACTTGCGCCAACAACTTCAACAACCACTAACGGACTGTTCGATTTTCCACTTCTGAATAGATGTCGACCGGCTATTATGCGTATTGTTACAATTTTTTCCTCCAAAGTACTTATAGCTATTGGATTATTTGGGTCAAAATTTTCAGCTTGCATAAATTTTGGTTTTAATAAGTAACCACATTGTCCATTATCACGAAATTTCGCTTGATTTAACTGCATAGCTTTATCGCCAGTTTGGTAATTAAGTGCTATCATTTGCGAGCCTACATTCCAAAATGGCACAGGATTAAAATTAGAGGAGTCTAAACGTTGTCCTTTTGGATACACGCGACTTATTTGATTTCGATGATACGAAAGAAATAGCATTGTATTATGCTGTAGGAATTGCTTTTCAGCTTTTGTTTCTGGAAAGCTAGACATTTCATAAAACACCCAAGAGTGATCCCTAAATGGCACACTGCGAAAATAAATAATTAAATCCGACATTTCTTTAGCCACACGTGCTGAACGCTCTTTCTTACGACGCTCAGTTGATAGTTTACTAGCTATCTGTGCCGCATCTTGAATGGCCTTAATCCATTCGTATAGCAGCTCTTGATTATCAAAACCAATTATAAATGGATTTTGCATTGTTGGTGTTTGTATCTCTAGTTTCATCAATATGCCAGGCTCTTCAGATTCTGAAAGAGAAGCAACAGCTCCATTTATTTCTATCGAATCAGTTTTTGAGAAGTTATCGCTGTTGCCTTCATCGTTAAATAAATTATAGTCATCATTTGAAGAATCAATAACCTTTAAAATGAAATTCATAAGAGCATTGTTCAACTTAAATAAACTTTTTCAAATGTTTTACCTTTACGTAACTTGAAGGTAAATGGCATTGCATCATGCCACCATAATCCCCACGCCACCATGATGAGCTGTAGCGTAACACATTTGTTATAATGGCATGTTTTGGGAATGAAAGCTCATCTGCTTCTTTTGCCATATAACTATACAAGGCCTTGCAAGTAACACGATCATCTAAATTTGGATCCATATAACTAGAAGCTTCATTAAAATCATTGCCATTATGTTGCTCTAGCGAAGCTTGACAAGCAAGCAGCTTTTGTCGTAACACTTCTTGTGAAACTGGATATAAAAGCTTTACATTTCGGTATAGTGGATTGCGCATATAAAAGTTGACTAAACTAACTAAAGATTCAAATTGTGTCGTATCTACGACATATAACCGACCCTCCTGCATAATGCGACAGTGCTTTATTTTTCGGTTAATGGTAAAGGATATAACAAATGCATTGGTACTTTGAACAGAAGGTCGCACTAAAAAGGAGCCCACATCTAATTTAATTAATACTTGTTCAGCTTGTTCTTTAGTTGTATTAGGATGAAACCATTCCTGAGACTCATGTTTTTTAGGTTGTGGCACTGGTTCCTTCAACGTTATAGAAAATTCCGAACTACGTAGCATATTTTTACGATAGTAAACAATAAGTGAATAAAGTGAATCGAATACAAAATTGTCAACTAGATAATATTTGGTTGCTCCATTCTCATGCTTCAACTTAATGCGGCAATGATTAGCGCGATTTCTACGCCAAAAAGAGAGACTGTAATCACCCACAAATGTAGCTGATTCTCTAACTAAGAATGTACCATCGCCAAGATGCTTATATGCTTCTAAAAGTTGATCAGCCTCTTTACGTCCACCTATGATAAAATAAAAATCACAATTTTATGTATTATGTTGTATAATCCAATACATTTCCAATTACCTTCTAGTTTGCCATGAAACCAGTTTTCTCCAAAATGCAATTCATCATTAACGAAATTATCTTTTGACTTAGGCAATAGACTCGAAGATGCTAATGCTGAACCAACAGTTTCATCGTCATCAGCTCGATTTTGTTCATCTAGTTCTGAGGAATATATAAGCTCTTGTTGCGTCAAAACAAAATGATAGAGATTCCAAGATTTATCGACTGGATCTTTAAGATAAAGTTTACTTTCCTTAAGTATATTACGCACATTATCATTTTCATCACCGGTACCACCACCTAAAGAAGATCTACTACCAACGGTAGAGATTGTGCCAGTGGTATTACTACCGCTTGTGGAACTACCACCACAACTATCTTCAAATTCTGGTAATTTTTTATGTTTAAGTATGATTTTTTTTCTAAGTTGGTATGGTGATGGAAGTTGTGACTCTGAACGATCACATCGTTGTGTTAATAACATATCACCGAATTCCTTAAGATAAAAAATAAGCAAGAAACAAATGATTATAATTTAATATTAAATTCAACCATTGCAGTATATTAATAAGTTTTTTTTGATTTAAATAAAATTATGAAATAAAAATTTTTTTTATATCGTCATATATTGAACTTTGCTTCACAAAACATTAATATGGTAAATATTTAACTTACCTCAATTAGCGCCTGCGCCATATTGCGTTGCTGCTCTAATGAACAATTTTGTTCAATAGATAAAATAACTGGAAATTCTGATGTAACAAATGCATGATCTTTAATCGTTTTTATCACATCTTTAAACTTTATTTTAGATGTCATTGTATGTCCATGAAAAATGTATGGTAAATTGTCTGGTCCATTCCAGCAGTCCAATTCAATGCAACGACAACCCATACGTAATGCACGCGCATAAGCTTCGCAAGAAGAGTCACTTGAAAATTGGTCGCCAGTTAGATATGTGTTATGAGATGAGGCTATCCAATAAGCTGACATAGGTTGTTTCATATCCATGTATACACGATCACTGTTCCGATCCCACAAATCATTTTGCTTTGAAAATAAAAAATCAATGAACTCAGAAATGTTGAGATATGGCTCTTGAACTTCGCGTTCAATGTCCTGTATGAAAAATCTTATAAAATTTGATACTCCTGTATCATCCATTGTTTCTTTTTGTTCTTCAGCTAAGAAACGTTGAAATTCTTTTAATGTAACGATTTGTGAATCTTTTGAATAAGTGAATTTTCCGGGCGAAGTATAGAAGAAATCCTCCAAGTATTTAGGTGGTAACAATAATTTTTCATATAAGCGTGCGAAATCATCGAATATTAAATCGTTTTTGCGGCGTACAATATCTTCTGGAAAGTGTTCCATTAGTTTACTTGTTGTCAGCTTACAACTTATGGTAGACAAAAATGATTTAAGATCTTTAACAGTCACTTGTCGACCATCTTTCGACGATTGGGTGCCAGTGTTTTCAATTGCATAATATTCACGTCTTAACCAGCGTTCAACTTGAAGTGGATATGAAGCATTAACGGTGTCCTGCACCATATAACGTAAACCGCGTACCCAATTTTCGGCTTCTTGTTCAGAAAGTGCAACAACGGAAAACGTTTTCAATTTAAAAGTATTTCCATATAAAACTACAAAACATTTAGCTGGTTCAAAACGTTTGCTATCATCTGAGCAATTTCGAAATTCTTTTGAACATTTTCCAACTCTTATTTCACGGATTTCACGTAACTCTAGTGAACCTTCAGCCTCCGTACGAGTATCTGAAGTTACTGGAGACCACAACAGTTGACGTGTCTCACGCAGCAGCATTAAACGCCTTTGTTCAGGTCGATGTTTTGGATAGAGTTTCGTCACTACCGTACCCCGTTCTAGCATAATAATAATGTGTTCCATTTCCCCTAAGGTTGGAACACTCATCGTACTAAAGCAATTCATATTGATTTTTAGTTGATTATTTGTAAGAATTATTTTTTTGTATATATATGTATGTATATATTTCCTGTTGCGTTTTAATCCTTACATACAGTTTAGTAGAGTTTCCATATTTTAAACTCGGAAGGCATTTAAGTTATAGCATTTAATAAATTTATTTAAGTATATTTATTTTTTATATACAATTTTTCGTTTAATATGCATTTAAAAATGAAAGTATCTATTAAAACGGAAGGCACTTTAGTGATAAAAAGTAAAACGTATGGTAAAAGTATGATTGTGTGTGTATGGAAACATAGACGGAGTCAGTGATTGAGGGTAGATAATACGATATCATATATCACAAGGTTTTATGGGTATAAATACAAGTGATCATTAATGTAGTCACTGCATTAAATTTCAATATTGTTTGAATTGCTACATTGAAATAAAATACACCTGTTGCATAAAAAATATTTTAATGTACGATAGTGTTATAAACGTGACAATCCGCTCATGTTAAAGGTTTCAACGATGCTTCTTTTTATAACAGCGTTGTTCACAATAAGTTCTTTTTGTTCGTATACTGATTTATCAGTGCATGACTAAAATGGTATAAAATGAATTCACGATTGAATTATTGTTGCCTTCTTTACAAATATTGTTATTATAACAACAATATTGTTGTTATCATAATTCATTGTAGAATAAATATTTTCTAACAATGAATATTAAATTGTTCAAGCACTTATGATTCATCGGGACAGTTAGATGTTAGATGTACAGTTAGAACAGTTAGACACGTAGATGAATTGGTTTGTGTATAGAATGAAGATATTTATCTTCATATTATCGTTTATTGTTATGAATCAATATGTCCAGCTTAAACAGTAATTTGAATAGAGTTTTTCAACTTATTTTAATAATAATATAAATAATTAAAATGAAAATAATAAATAATAATTTATAATAAATAAATGCAAAGTTAATAGTATGTTTCACCTGGCTTCGTTAGACCAGTTAACTTACTTGAGATTGCTTGAATTAGTTGAATCTCAAGTAAGTTTATTGGTCTAAAGAAGCCAGTGGAAATATATTAATAGAGGCCCTGCTATCCTCTATTTTAATGAATGCACCATGAAATATTTGTAAACCGTTGATATCAACGATATAATGTTAACTTTTTGAGATTGTTTGAATTCTTGAATCTCAAGTAGGTTAACTGGTTTAACGAAATCAGTGGAAATATGCTTTAAACATGTTATAGTCAAAAATTGAAGTAGAAACTCAGCCTTACTACAAAAATAATTTTAAAAGAGCATTTTAACAATTTTTTAAATTTCTTCGTTTTATTTATAATAATATATAAATTTTTTTAACAGCAAAAAACTAAGAAACGACATTTAACCACTCCTACAAAAGTGTACTAAAATAATCGCTTTCATAAAATACTTACATAATAATTTTATAAATAATACAATACATAGAATCAAAAGTGGAGTATAACAATTCCTAGACAATTTGTCTATTTTAAATTAAATTTTGGCACTTGACCAACTCTCTTTTCAGTATAAAAAAAAATCAGAAAATATATGCAATATTCGACTTTCTCTGGTAATATTTATAATAATTGTAAACAATAGATTATTCGTTTATAACTCATCATCACTGGTTTGCGTACATATTACTTGTTCTTGCCACCAATCGTGTACTTCATAAACTACATTGGCTTGATTATTGAAAGGTAATAGCTTACTGCCTGCAATTATATGTCCAACAAGTGCTGATGGACTACCAAGCGCACCATGTGTATCTCCATAATGACTATTAGAATTATTAATCGGATAATGAAATTGTCCAATTTCATTATTAAATTGTGTTAAAAATCCAACAGGTTTATTTATATCTCGTTTAAATCCAGCACCGCCCACAATCGGTATTGTTGGTATCGTAGTCATTGAATTTTTCTTTTTCTGTTGATTGCTAATGTGTAAACGCTCTTTGTCTGTAAGTGTTGTACGTTGTTGAGGATCAGATGATGTTGGTGCCAAAAATTTACGTCCTGCTGAACTACCAGTAGAGTCTGAACGATTTAAAGCATAAGCACGTTTTGTAGCTGTTAAAACCTTTTGTATACTATGCACATCAGCAGGTGTTGGTATTACTCCACTGCTTGGTTCTTTCTCATCATTTTCAGTCGAACTAAATGTTGGTGAAAATGCATCACTAGTTGGTGGACAAGTAGCTGCAACAGTACCGCTAATAGTCGCAATTGTTGATTTATCCCCGATGCCAGTGGGCGTTTTATCTTCAGCAGCTGTGTGTCTCATCATAGCCTCATTAGTAGCACGTAAACCAGCAATTAATGAATTTTGTTGCTTCTATCCATAGAATTAAAATATAGTATTATTATATTTTCTTTAAATATGTATAATTTTTGGCATAGCCATAATAAAACTTACACTTGCATTTTGTGCACGAATTTTTTTCAAACATCCTTCCAACCAAGTACGTATGGTCATTTTTGCTACTTCTTCTTCGACAAGATACTCGAACTCTTCACGTGCCAATAACTCTTCCAATTGTAAAGCTTTTCTTATATCAACAGAACGATAGGAGAGCATACTATAAAGTGATAGAAATTAATATTTATACGTTAAAGCTTTCTTTAGCTGTAAAATTTACTTGATAACATCATGAAATGTTACGTCTTCTCCATTATGTAGTTTATCGAGCTCATAGCACATATATTTGAAGAGTAGACGATCTTTTTGGGGGTCACATTCCAGTCGACCTTTCAGTAAGCGTAATATGAATTTTACGCGACGTACTGGTATAACTCCACGTTGATGTATATCGACAATATTCCAAGTGTTTTGGAAATTGCGTATGTCTGCATATGAGAGTAGAGCATCTTCTTCATTGGAATAAAATAATGAAAAGTTCTCCATGATAATAGCTGCAATATAATATATTTGGAATGTAGATTTATATAAAAATTTACAAAAATTTAATTAGAGATCGGTTATGACCAAACGTTATATCATATATATAGCACATATAACTTCTTAAGAAATTCATTTTCATATAATAAGTTTTTGGTCATATCCATTTAATACTTAATTTTTGAATAACACATACCCACTAGTAAATTGAGGACTATATATGTTATAATAACATAAAAGGTGCAGAAATATATAAGACTAGCAGTGAAATTTCCTAGAATAAGAATAATTATAAATTAAATTCATATACAAATTAATATATCAAATGTTTATATATTATACAAAATGTTTAATACCATTGCTTTACAGATATTATTATATAGATCAGAGTTTCTCAACCAAGGGTTTGTGCACCGCTGTTAATACTTTCAATCAGTAAAAAATTGAAGTTTCGTCTTTAACGTTATTATTATTTTGAAAGCTATTGGAGCAAGCCCTTACAAACACTTTAAATATATAACCGATTCTTGAAGTACACTTTAAATGTTTTTCCGGTCTGCAGTACGTTTTAGATTAAGAAACGCTGGTATATATGTTAACTTACCACAATCTGTCTCCCAGTAGTTATTACCAGGTGTACAATACGGTGGTTGGACCATGCAATCGTGCATAATTTTGTTCCAATCCTCGCCGGTAACAATACGGAATAACATAGCAACACCAGTGACTGGTGAACCAAAATTGGCGCGTCGCCCAATACCTTCACCATATTTAACTGTACCAAAGAGTATAGTACCAGCTAGGGCATAGAAGAAGACCAACAAAAACATGCCGAATATAATGAAAAACGATTTACACACAGATACACCCACTGTTAACATCAACATTTTTAATGTGGTATGCTTGCCAGTTATAGTAAAGAAGCGTAAAATCACTACCATAAATCCAAAGAAATAAGAGAGGTCATTCTAGAAAGAAAAGTAAAGTTATTTATTCATGCAATCAAAAATACTTTAGTTTTACCCTTAAAATGGTTTGTAAAAATATCCAGACTACACCAGCTACAGTAACTAATAAATCGTAACGATTTCTGCGGGACTGCCAATAGCCACGCGGAGTGAAGGCTATGTTCTTCATAACAACTTCCACTACAAAAACAAAAGTTAACACTGCACTCACTATAACCAAACGCTCGGTGTGTACTTCGCCTTTGATCCACTAAAAATATAAATATAAAAATTCAAATTTAGGGGATCGAAATTTTTCTGAATTGAAAAGATATATTATACATACTGTTATAGAGAGTAGCATACTATTGATGAGCACTACAACGGCTATAATACGTTTAAACGTTATGTGTTGTGTTATGTCATAAATAAATGCCCGAAATTTCCTGCCATCTGGACGAGGAGGCAAATGTAACGGTTGAGCAATTTTCAAACGTTTTTTAAGATCGCACCAACGACGTTGGTCCACAGTTAGAAGTGCAGTGCCTTTATTCTCTGAGTAATTAGCAATAACAACGCCAACAAATAGAGTCAAACCAATCATGCAACCCAAGAAAATATATATATGTATATAGACCGCATGTATCTAAAGAACATTACAGATATTATTTAAAATTTCTTCAATTGAAATACTTTCAAATACATATTATAATATTATGTACGAATATGTGTAATTTAGTTTCATATGTGTACTCACCGGTCCTACTGCTTTGATTAAAACATCACGCACATCCAACCAACCCTTAAAGGATAAGACCTCAAATAAAGTCAGCATTGCATCACCAATATTATCAAAATTAAAACGTCTGGGATTAGCCCAAACTCTTGGTACCAACATGGAAGGATAAGATTCATTAATACCAGGTGTAAGTTTCATTTTCGTAACGAATACACGCCGCATAAAAACACCAACGCAATCTTCTCGTCTGGTTACTGTTGGATCATTGCAACGAGCTAGTCGTCCACCATACAATTGCACACCATAACTAGCAAATATAAACATAAGCAGTATTAAGAGTGTTGATACGAGTAAGATTTCCTTAAATCCCCGACATAATTCGTAGACAACCTTTCGCATATGTGGCACCAAAGTAAAAATTCGCAATGGACGTACACAACGCAATATCATAAGTAACTGTGCCGCAGAGCTGGTGGGTATTTGTTTTGGCATCCAACATAGAAATGATGTAGAGACAACATAAATGAAAACATCCAAAGCAGCTGCAACATCTTTTATATATGCTTTCGGTGTAAAAAATAAACCATCCGCTAAAATCTTTAACGCCAATTCGAGACTCATAAATATGACAAAACCATATTCAGCTATTTGTAAAGTGGGATGCTCCATGACACGATAACTGGGAGTTTCAAACATCATAGAAATGCAAGAGAGTGTTGTAACAAATATCATCACCCAATCCAGGTACGTAACAAGTCCCAAAAAGTTGCTATTAACAAAAATAATTAATATATATAATTATGAAAGCTTAATTAACTTACTGTAAACTCTTATATTGCACTTTTCGTTCTTTTCCAGTTAATGGGTCCTTTAGTCTAGCATCATAACGCCCGTGTACAATTTTCTGACATATTTTGCGAAAGCGGCTCTCGCGTGGTACCAAAAATAAGGGCGTATCAAAAAATGGATGATTTTCTCTTAAATCCTCTTCACGTTGATTTCTACGCATCTCAGCTTGTTGTCGCTTTGCCTGTAGTAATTTAATATCCAAATCATGAGGACGTGCACGTCCGGAATTGGCACGTGGTGCTGCTGCTATGTCGCCATTTTCCATCAAATGCTCATAGGTCTGCTTTAATTTAATAGAACCCGAACGGACACTACGGCGTATAGAACGAGAACCGAATCTAAAATAAAATTTTATATAAAATATGGACTTTTTGAACAACTTTAATGTGTTCTTGCTTTTTTTGATCCACACGCCACGGTTTTGAGTGTGTGATGGTACCCTGATGTTTTAAACCACTCTTGCCTGCAACCGGCAACATAGCTGAATCTCCCAACATTAAGCGCTGATTATTGGAATCGCTAAAAATTAGTTAGTAACTCGGTGAATATAAGAGTCAATAATATTTACATAGAAACTTACTTTATAATATGTGTTATGGCTAACTTTCTTAAACTGCTACCAGCAGAACGCACTTTTGCAGTCTTGTTCATAATACGCACTGGCTTTTGTTTACGAAATACTATATTTGATTCCCAATATTCCGACATAGGGCGTTTGCAATTCTCCACAAGTGAGGGATCCTCAGTTTCCAATTCAATAACAAAATGTTTCATAAAAGATTCACGTACTTTAGGCAATGTAAAATCGTTAGGAATTCTATGCAATATAGTCATTTGTGGAGAGTCAGGAAACTTTTCAAAAATTCTCAAACGAAAAGGTAGCGTTTCTTTGATTTCAGCGCTTTGCTCTCGAAACTTAAGTTGCTTCAGCTTTTTTATGTCTTCATCCAACTCCAAGTTATCCAAAATGACCGCCACGAACAAACTTAACACGATCAGTGTGACAAACAAGTGATATAGTATAAAGTATATAGCAACAAGTGGTGTTAGAGTACGACTTGTGCGTATCATAGTCTCATCCATGACTTCTACCCAAGCCTCTTGGGTTAAAATCTGGAACATAGACATAAAGGCTTCCGGAAATGATTCGAATTTTGTAAAATCGCATAGGAAACAAAACAATTGCATTGAAATACTGGAACTAATTATAAGCAAGCACATAGTGAATATAATCAGCGAGCCCAACTTCTTGCCAGGTCCAAAAATTTTGTAGACGAAACCTTCTAGCATGGGAGAGGCTTTAATAAGGCGTACCACTCGAAGTACCTTTAAGACGGTTAGTAAATCATCAAAAATTTTATATTTATATTTTATTATTAAATTGTCATACTTACTTGGAAGTATGTAAATCCTGATAAATAGAACATAGGCACTATATGGATTGTTGTGCCAATAGCTAATAGTAATTCAAATTTGTGTATTGAATGCTTGTAATAGCCGCGCCAACCCAAGCAATAAATTTTGAATAAAGTTTCTAAATCCAAGAAGAAAGTGAATACAACTTCAATGTAATAATATTTCTCATAAAAAACATATCTCGGACGACCATCGTGCTTAAACGTCATAGTAGCGGTGACAATGCCATTGGCAAGAATAACACTCATTACCAACATACGAAAGTATGGGGAACGTATGATAGCGTGGCATGTCTCTGGTGCTAAGCCACCATGTTTGTTATCATCTATGGTTATTAAACGCCAACCAGAATCATTGCCACTCAATATTTGTGAGGCAGCTGTCTTTTGTATATGACCACGTTGACCCCACATTTGCTGAAATTGTACACGTATCTCATTAAAGGTTTCCGTAATGACAGCAATGAAAACATTTTTCACAAGCCAAGCAAGGAAGAAGATCATTGTACTATATGAATAAAATATAAAAATTAGAATAACATTGTTTTGTACATACAATAATTAGAATTTTATGAAGTGTACCTAAAGTAAAATGCAGCACGCCAAGCTGGTAAAGAATCGATAGCACGATACATAATAAAGACCCAACCTTCTTGAGAAGCAGCTTGATATACTGTAAATATACTGGTGGCTATATCTTCGAATCCATTGAAACCTATCACGTAACTGGTGAGAAAATCCATTTTCATGCAAATCATACCAGGTGAACACTGATAACCAGAGTATGGATCCATGGAACAAAACGTATCTGGTATTGCTAATGAATTAATTGTGAGCATACTGAAATGGAAAAGAATACACGTCAAAAATATTGTTACTAAGTTTTTTAGTATATATTCAGTAGTTACGGTCTGCCATATTCATCAAAATCAGTGTTATTCATCACACAATGGTTTTTCAACTCTCCGAAGAATTGTACACCCAATAATCCATAAAGTGACATAAAGAATAGGAAAAATAATGTTACGTTGTAAATCTGTTGGCTGGAACGTCTGTAGAGAGCAAATTATTAAATTGTTTAATTAATTCATTGTAATTTGTTATAATTTGTTAATAATCTTAATAGAAATAGAATAAAAGAAATTTTTGACACGATTGGCCTATATGACATATACGGTAGTCGCATCTAAGAATGAAATGAAGAACGTAATAGAAAAATATTATGTATATTAGTAAAAAGAGTGGGTCTTATTTTTATTTAAACTTATTAAATATATTTTTCGTGAAACATGTCATGAGATAATAAATTTCATTTTTGGTGATTCTCGATGCAACTAAAGGACACATCTGAACACCAACTGTGATGCACTAAGTAAAATAAAAGACAATGCGGAAGACTAAGAATGCGGAATAGATCAAACCTAACCCATAAACCATTATCATTATTAAATGAAATATTACAATTTAAAGATTAGAGACTATTCTGCTTTAAGTGCCGATCTCTTTATAGAGAACTACTAATAAAAATATATTTTCATATACTTTTAGTTTAAGCTTACTAATTAGACGATTATTATTAGTATTCGTTCGTTTTGCTATGTAGTTCGAAACAGGTAGTCAGATAGATTATTATCTTATAACTTGCTTTATATTAAGACAAGTTTTACAAAATAAATTTTTAGAGAATTAATATGTCCTTAATAATATTTTCTTTGTATCAGATCATGTGTATCTAATTTCAGTGTATTAAAAGTAACTATCGGCGTCTATATTTATACTTACTTAAATATTTGATTAATTCTACTTTTTGGCATCGAAAACTTTAGAAAAACTCTAAGAAACCGTATCATAATTAGAGGTCGAGGGGCACGCATTATTGATAAATATGAAAATCTATAAATGGAATAAAATTTTAGACAATTTGATAGTTTAACATAATATAGACTTCACTTACTTTGGTACAACATCAAGAAATTCAAATACTTGTAAGACTATGGAAACCCAAAGGAAAACCACCATAGATGCATCGAATTGACACCAGTGATCCTTAAGATAAGGAACTTCGCCCTATATTTTTGTAATATTGATTGTATAATAATATTTTGATGTATAAATAAATGATCTATATAGCAACTATTTAACATATTAATTTCAGCTTTCGATAACAGTATATTTTCATATTGTAAGTTATACATGAGATAAAATAATTTCGTTTTGCAACATTTGAATGCATGACTTACACATGAAAACATACATTACTTAAGTCCTGATCAGAATGTTTTACTCACGTGCAAAACACCTCTTATATGCATTTTGGCAACCATTTCTGCAGTAAACAGCAGTGTTACTGAGGTGTCCGATACGAATGTTATATATTGCAAGGCTGGATGTCGCTCGAAAGTTTTTGGCGTATTCAATGAGACTGAGGTCAAGGAGACTAAAGCACAAAAGCGCATTAGTCGCCTTACCCACAGTTTATTTACCCATTCTATATCAGCACTTTCGTTAAGCGATTCTTCTGGACCATAATCGGCTAGAAATGGTTCTCCACCTTTAAGACTCTGCTTGCGACCAAGCATTTTATTACCAATACCGGTTGCAATGCCTAGTCCAATGGGTGGTACGCCAGTTATAGCAGCACTACTCGCACCCATGGTAGTACTTATACCACCACAAATGCCCATGCCAACATTACTGCTAACCAAATTTCCACCACCCGAACCAACAGCCAAAAGACTTATTCCAGCACCATTATTATGTGTATTACCACTACCACCACCAGCCGTACTATGGGCATTTACATTAGTGCTATGCAAACTACCAAGCTGTCCTGCAGCGGTACTTGAAGCCGTAGTACCCAACATCGGTCCCATGGCTGGTAATACTATGCCACTACTACCGCTACCACCACTGCCAGAATTTTGAACGGTTGGACTATTTATCACACTTACAGCATCACATCCTGCAGCAGCAGAATGTAAATTTCGCGGTACGCTACCGCTACCGTTTCTGGGGCTGCTACCTGGTGTTAGATTAAAAGAGAAATGACTCGGCTGATGGTGATGCAAGGAAGCACGTAGGTGATGTTGATGCTGGTGTTGATGTGTACCACTTGAAGAACTGGTACTTGTTGAACTAGTTGATGTACTGCTTACCACAGTACTTTTACTACGTTTAGTTTTGGTAGCACCTACACGACGTATATTCAATCGGTCAATCATTCAAAGTAGTTAGGATGTTTGGCTTAAATCTGTAAATATTATATAAGTATAAGTTAAATATTATTTTGATTTAAATGTACAAATTTAAGCTACGAACACAACCATTTAAACTACACATGAAAATTCTAATTACACAAATGTATTACATATATTTTTATTAATGTCTCTGTATGTCTGTTTGACTGTTTTTCTGTCCTCCAAGGTGGAGTATAGTGCCTCTATTATTAAATCGAATTTAATTATGTTATTGGATTGGGCAATAATGTCTTTTCGTGAGTACACTGCTTCTCTAATACTCACATTGCACTCTGTATCTCTAAATCATGATACGCACATCCGGGCGCTTAAAACCTTATGGGTGCCACTTCAATATCTGTTAAGCGTTATTATTGTTTAGTCTTCTAAAAGTGTACATGGATATTTTTGAACCCTAAGTGTTGTTTATAAGAGTAATTTTTTCATTGTTTTTGTGTTTGTAATATTTAGCTATGACATTCAAAACTTTATAAAAGCTCTTAAATGTTTAAATATTTTAATTCATACAGTATCGTCAGTAGATATAATATATGTATATATAATCTTAAATCTAATAACATTATAGGTGCTTCATAATCAATTCACATTTGATTTCATTGCCAAAGTGGGTGACTTATTGGCTAAGTGGGATAGCTAATCCTGTTCTCAAGGTGCGGACAAATTGAATTCGGAGTTAAATCGGATAGACGAAAAAAGCTTTAAAGAAAATAGTACAACGATCTCAACATAGAAAATACTATTAACCTCGAATAAAAGATGGAATATGTTTAGATCGAATATGACTACAAAACACCGATTAATACATCATTAGATGACGAAAGCTTTGAATAACCTACGGCAATAATCTTTCACATGGAGATAATTATACACCTCAATTTAAGAGGTGCAGAAGATTTTTGGAATCATAGCATCGTTACTCAGTCAGTTGATTTGCTTTATTCATTATTAATTTGTTTATTCATTTATTTATTTATACGTATTATATGTACGTATATTTATGAATATATTATGTTAAAGTCATCATTATTAATTATATACGTTTAATAGCATAATGCTAATTATTAAATTTTGTAAAATATACTTTTATATTAATAATTTTGTTTAGGTTTACCTTTCATATTATTTCCTGATTTACTTTATCTGTTATATTGAATGGCAATTAATTAATATTTATATATTAATAATATATAATATTACATATTATTATATATAATATATATAATATAATATTATATAATTAATATTTATATATTAATAATATATAATATTACATATTATTATATATAATATAATATTATATATATAATATTAATAATTAATTAATAATATATATATTTTTTGTTTTTTAAATTGGGGTAAAAGTTATTAGTAAAATTTTTTAGTTTAAATTTTTTTATTTTCTAGTGCTTCAATTAATAAAAAAAATTAATTACATTAATTTAAAATTTAATTTTGTGAAAAATGTTGGAAAACAAATAAATTTAAAAACACAAATTATATCACTAACTTTTAGTTTAATTTAAAAAACCAAAATTTGTGTTAATATTTTCTTATTTTAAAAATTCTTGTATTAATAAATTAACATTCTTTACTTTGGAATTATAAATATTGTAATATTGTGTTATTTAATTTTTATATATAATAAAGTAAATTTAATATTTATAAAATATGCACGGTAACACAATGGGCCAATATGCCTAAGTGGATCCACTAGGGATCGCCCGTATAACCCAACCTAACCTATAAAATATGCATTAAAATTTTTTTGGTTTTATAAATTCTTGTATTAATAACTATTATTCTTTTCTTTGGAATTATATTTTAATATTGTGTATTGCTACATTTATAACATATGTGCATTAAGATTTTTTTATTTTATAAAATTTTGTATTAATAAATTAACATTCTTTTTTTTTGGAATTATATTATAATAAGAATATTAATATTAATTTATTTAATATTTAAATTTTTGTTATTCCGAACAATTTTTTGTTCATATTTATTTATTTATTGTATTATTAATTATAAATATTTTTTATAGTTAATTATTTTTGCCGAAAGCTACGCTTCTTACGAGCGCAAAGAAGCGATTTTGATTCAATAAATTAACTAAATTTTTGTTATTGCATTCTCTTTGTTATCGAATCCTTCTACTTTTTTATTTTTATTTTATATTACATCTTTTTTTTATTATTTTTTCTACAATTTATATATTTGTAATAATTTAAATAATTTGTGTTCTAATTATATTTATCATTTCTAGCTGTTATATGAAAATTTTTATTATTATTATAAATTCACAACGTTTATGTTAAAACAACTGCCCTCGTTTCAAACAAAGTTACGTATACGTTAGGTCGGACAATATTAAAATAATGTTTCATATAGAATTTAAACGAACTATTTGCAGACAAACAAATACATCTCAACAAAACACAAAGTAATTTCGTAAATATCAATTCACATAAAAAACATATTAAGTAAATATTTATATTTCCAACCGATAAGATATGAATCTAAAGCAAACATTTCAAACACTAGCGCTCCTATGTCCATGATTTCGGGTACTTCAATCTGCGTATACACTTTTTTCATATCGTATAGATACACAAAATTTTTTCATGCCAGTCACTCAAATTTTTCAAATTTATATAATTCTTATTTAAAATTGTTTAAAAACAATATAAACCAAATATTATTATTTAAAAATATTTACTAAAACTTATTTAAGCAAAAATTTGTAAAAATTAAAGCATTTAAAAACATTTTTAAGCCACAAAAAAATATTGCATAAACTTCACAACGAACTTTTAAAAAACTTCAAATGTTTAAAAATACTTAATTATTTTCATACTTTTCTGTTATTAAACAATTTTTCAACATTTAAATATAATGAAGCACATAAATTCTTATTTATTTTTTAATGTAAAAATAATTCATCATAAAATTGATTTTGAACAAAAATTTTTCCAACCAACAGCCTCGAACATCCTTTTCCTACTGAAGTAAAAGTGTTATATGGACATAGTTAACTGTTCGAAATTTTGTCCACAAGCCTATGCACATACTAACAAAAATTGCAACTGTTATACAAAACAAAAATATAGCGGTATTTACCGAAAAGCCGGTTAACACGTGCTCCGGCCGGCTTTCTAAACGTAAACATTGAACAGCTGCTTTTTGTTTTATGTGCAATTCATTCAAAAATCCCAAGTTCATAGATGCAAGATACTCTTACACGTTCGCTAGTAGATACTCACTGGTACGACTAATAAGATGTGACTTAGCCGACAAATTTGTGTGTGCAATTCATAAAACAGAATAAATTTTATTGAGATGATAATGTGTATATATGTGTATATATGTACACTATAAGCAAATACATTTTATATTTTAATCGTAAATAATATATAAAGAGCGCTTACTCGCAGATGCAACTGGTTTTAAATTTGTTTCATTTAGTATATGGTATGATTAATAAATATGTGAATGAAATTCATTAAAGAATTTGAGTTTAATATTTTTATTATTTAAATCTAAATAAATAAAATAAAAAAATATAAATTGCATCATGAATTATAAAGATTGATAAGAATGCCTTTCCAAATGAAAGTTGAATAAGTTTACAGTTGATTAAAAAAAAAATATGTTAATTAAAGTTTTGAAAAGACAAAGAAACTCTAATTTAATATAACAAATATTCAATAAATTGTGGTTATGGTAAAATTAGTATAAGCTCATTCGAAACTAAAAAGCAAAAAGTAAGTCACGTATGTCGCTTATCCAGTACATTTTATTAATATGTAGTATATATGTCATATAATGTCATATGTCTAACACATTTTATTAATGTACTATAATGTCATTATTATAAGCTTCCGCTAATTCTACGAGAGAGCAGGATACGCATAGAGAAAATGGAGGACAAGTTCCCTTAAACTGTAGCAGCTGTAGCAGTGAGTATTATTGAGTATATCTTAACTTAATTTGGCAACCTGTTCTACGTTAGGCTTGAAGCCAGTAATAATCGCGGTGAGCCTCCACTGATTTCTTCTTTTCCTGTTTGCCATCGATAATGACTGCTTAAGATTATATTCAGACTCTAATGTTCTACTCGTTCTGCAGTAAATGCTAATACAGTGGTGCAGTCAATGGACGAAGTGTTACATATGTTTATCAAGGACCTTAATAAGTTTACGTTAGCTTAGATAAATTTATTTTCGAATAGCACAATAAATATGATAGTTTACTATATAACATTATTGCTCCTTTAAATGGTTTATTTTTAATAGCATAATAGAAAAACATATATATAATTTTTAGAATGTGACAACCTTTAAATAATATGTATAAATACTTTATAATATGACTAATTTTGGTATTTGCAAAACAAGGGAAGAAATACCATTTTATAAGTTAATCAAATGACCTACTAAAAGGTCAAAAAGTAACGCAAATTTAGCATAGATGAAAAAACTTTTATAATAACTGTAATCTAACCTGAGTTTAAACGTAAGTTATAGTCATTTACACACTAATGGCACTAAAATTAATGGAGATAGCTGACACCTTAAAGATGTAAGAAGACAGTGAAATACTGTTTGACATGAGCCTTTGAATGGGAAGAAATATTTTCGTAATGGATGTTTTGTTTATTCGCACTGGACAAGAAACCAATGAAGATTCCGAGAGATGTGTTTTTTTTTACAGTAGATAGAAAGCATCAAAGGGTTAAACCCACTAAAACCAACTCTTAGGAATGAATGGGGAAGATTTCCACAGCAATGTAAAAACTTCATTCCAGTAATCAGGGGAAAGACATATGAGCAAGAGGCTTAAGGAGAATAAGTTTAACTAAACCAACATGCGCGTGACGCAGATTCGATTAGGAGCCGATAGATGTATGGAAGTGCTCAAGTTTAATGCAAAAAATTTATAACGCTAGTTTGTAATTACTCTACTGCTTT